CTTCACAAACCTATCCCACTGCCCTACCCCAGCAGCTGGGGCTGCTGAAGGCCAGCCCGAGGTCCACTGCAGCCTAGAAAACTGACAGAGGGCAGTCAGGGTGAGCACATGTGTTAAATTCTGAACTGTCAGTGCCTGGCTCAAGTCAGGTGGACAGCCTCTGGCAGTGGGTGTCAAATGCTAAGTGACTGCTGCCCTGGCAGCTGGTCAGTGTCCACATAGATAGATAAAATGAGTCTCAATGGACTCAAAGGAGTGGCCGTGTGGCCTCGCTCAGGCTTTGGAATTGGCTAATTTGAATCGGGATAGGTTTCTGTGGGAGCCAGGGAGGTGTGCACAGTGATGATGAAGCATCTGCCAGATGCCAGCAGGAGGCTCCCACATGACAAGAAGATATTGTAGCCATGGTATCTGTCTGCTGCCCTGATGGGCATAGGATTAGAGCTCAGGCTTAAATCGGAAGGTACAACCCCCTGGAGCAGGTTGATTGGACCACCTGCAGGGTGCTGCAAACACAGAGGTGCCAATAAAATTCCAATTGGATGCAGAAGCAGCAAAAACCCATCTTCCCTTTGATTTCCTTTTTATTCTCTCCTCTTTCTTTCCTGGTAATTAAACCTAGAACCCTGTAGATGCTAAGTGAGCACTCTACCACTTAACTGGACTCCTAGCACCTTCATATTTTATAGTTTTAGACAAGGTCTTGCTAAATTATCCAGGCTGACCAGGAATTCACTATTATAATTCAAGCTGGCCTCAATCCTGCACTTGCCCTGTCTCAGCCTGACAAGTGCTGAGATTATAGGCCTGTACCACTTTGCCTGTTAGAACAGCACATTTTCTTTATCACTTGCTAAAGATGTCAAATCGGCTCCCTGTACAGCATTGCACCTTTAATGTCCTATGTGCCGTTTGGTTTCTGTGGCCTGAAAATCACTTCCACAAATAAGTTTTCAAAAGGAGGAGGAGGAAAAGTAGTGAATATTAACTCAGGTATGTGGGTGGATGAGCACCAGCTGCAAGCAAGGTTACAGATTGTAGGTGTCTGCATGGGAGCTGAATCCCAAGTCTTTATCTGAAAAAAAAAAAAAAAAAAAAAAAACGTGAACAGAGGAACATTTAGGGTTTTGCCAAACCCTATGTATTCAGATTGGCGCACTGCAAAAAGGCTAATGTCAATGACTTCATGTGCCCTACCTGAGCCTGCAGCACCCAGAGAATGCTGTGCACTGTGTAGTCTGAGCCTTAGCACCATGAGGATGCTGTACACAGTTTAGCCTGAGCCTGCAGCACTATTAGGGTGCTTATTCACAGTGTGGCCCGAGCCTGAAGCACTTTGAGGATGCTGTGCACAGTGTGACATAATTTGACCCCTCACAGGTGACATTTATCCCCGGATCTCCACAGATAACTTGGGGATCTGGCCTGCTGAGGTTTTTGTGTCATTCTACTGACCTCATTCCACAGATGCAGGGAAACTGAGACCCAGAGGAATAAAGTGACTCACTTCAGGTCACCAAAGCCTCCTGATACATTTCCTCCCTCATCTTTCCATGGGATTCGGGAGTCTCAGTTTGTGAAGAGCATTGGACACCTTTGAATAACTCCAGTTGTGTTTAATTCTGTTCGGGTCTTTGGTTTGGTTGCTGTTTCCTTTTCCTTTGGGCTGCTCTAGAAGTTTTTTAACTGTCCGGTACTTTATCAAATCCAGAGAATCAACAACTAGAGTCCCCTCTTTCACTGAGAAGTGACCCAAGCTCCGCCCACACTTTCATATGTACGCATAGAAAGGTCATCTCTACAAAGTTTTATTGACCCTGCTCCCCCTCTGGGCTAGACTTTGTGTCCTTCCTGTGTGTCCGCTTAGTGGAAGTTCCAGACTGCTCTGAACTATATAGCTCAGGGATGCAGTATGTAGTTAGTATGCTTTCCTTCCAAACAAAGTAACTTCTTGGGGCCCAAAGTGTAGCTCTTCTCCATAATGACTCCAACTGCTCCGTGCATGTTTGTTCCTTGAATGGTGCCCCTGTTGAATCACAGACAGGAAGGTGTGTCTGTGTACACGGGTGTCGCCCCAAAACAAATACTTCACAAAACAAATAAGGAAATGACTTAAGGGTACAACTAATTTAATAAAGCATTTCTAGTTACTTTTATGTCCTTTCTGTATTTTATTTATGAGTAAATGTCCTAGCGCAGTGAATTAAGCAGGACACACACTGTTTACTCAGAGAATTGCCCAACTGGCCTCTCATCAGAATTTGTGTGTGATGAACTTTCAAAAGAGCAGTCCAAGCAACCATTGAAATCATGTGAGGTTCCTTCAAAATCTACCCATACATAGCTGTTATCACTCTGGGGCATATACACCAGGACTAAGTCAGTAGACAGAGACATGTGCACCAATGATTACAATATCACTTATCACAATAGCCAAGGTATGGAATCAGCCTAGGCACCTATCAAGGGTGTATTTATATACACCTTTGATGGGTGTATATATATATACACTATTTGTGTATGTATATACACAAATAGTTTTATTTAGCCATCAAAAGAACAAAGTTAAGATATTTGCAAGAAATTGGATAAAATGGAGGTCATCATGTATAAGGCAGACTCAGAAAGACAAACAGTGCATGTTTTCTATCATATATAGAATCTAGATTTAAAAATAGGTATATAAGACGTGAAAACAGAAAGAAACTACTTAGAAAAAGAACATTGGGAGATAGAACGAGAGGATGATGTTTGTTGTGAGCCCACCTGTATCCCTGAGAGAGTGCAGCCCTGATTTCCCTTCACCCTGGTCCTGCGGCTGCTGGTCCTTAGATTCTCTACCAACAGTAGCTCCAAATCCATGCCATTTGTACTTCTTCCTCATTTGTCTTCCTCTCCTGTCTCCTCCCCTTTCACCTCATCTCTTCCCATTTCCTACCCAGCCTGCTGATTTACCAGCTGACACCTCCTGAAATCTAGTATACAGTTTCATGCTCCCTTGCCCTCCCTCGGGGTGCTGTCCCCACACAGCACACATGCTGAGCTGACCCAGAACTCACTTATTTTCCAAAACAGATCCAGTAGGGTTCTGCCTCTCCTTTGAGTCTCAGCCATTGCCTTCCTCAGGGGCCCTGTCCCATCCTATGTCATACATGCAGGGTCTGGTCCACGTCACTCATTAAGTTGAGTGTGTGTGTGTGTGTGTGTGTGTGTACTGTAGTGATATATTTTTATGATCTAATAAGGCCACTGGAGATCAAAATGCAAAGCTAGCCATAGAGCCAGGCAGTGTTGATACACACCTTTAATCCTAGCAGCCATACTAGTTAGCCATAGAGGCAGTGGTGGCACACACCTTTAATCCCAGGACTCAGGAGACACAGGTAGATAGATGTCTGTGAACCCAAGACCACCCAGGACTACACAAGAGTGAATCAGCCAAACAGAATAACAGAGCTTAGACCTTTATTCCCGGCACTAGGGAGGTATAAATGGAAGAAGCAAAGGGTCTCATGTGAGATTCAGTTTCCAGACAGGGAAGGCATTGTACTCTGAGGAGACAGGATCACCCATTTCTGTCTGAGGTAGAGGTAAGAGCTAGTGGCTTGGCTGATTGGCTTCTCTGATCTTCAGGCTTGAACCAAATATCTGTCTCTGGGTTTTTATTATCTGAGCTACAATGCACTTCTCCTTATTTACCACATTTACAGAGGCTTCCCTCCCTAAGACTTGAAGTCAAGAGTAGATTCCTCACAGATGGACCTGAAGTGACAATGCTCAGTTCACCTCTTAGTGAAAAAGAAACCCATTTAGTACCCAGCAAGAGTCTGAGCTCATGAGAGGCCCACACCCATCTCTTCAAACATGAAAGATCACCATGCCTGCAATTCAAGCCTATACTACACGCCTTGCAATCCCAAAAGACCTTTAGGTAGATTGGTTTTAGTTATGCAAACCCGATTGTCTGAGGACCCAGGCTTAGGGATGACAAAATGAGCTAAAGACTGAATGACTACTAGGGATAATACAGTGTCCCAGAGGCCTGTCAATTTGGAAGCCATTGGGCCATGCCTACTGAGTGCAGTTTGGTCTCTGCTTGTGGCTCTGAAGCCTGGGACAAGAGGAAGAATCTTTTCCTGAGGATCAGGTGTGTACCCTAGGTCTAGCACTGTTCTGGGAAATTCTGCAAACAAAGATGGCTGCATAATACAGACTGATTTGAACAAAATGAAACTACTCAAACATCATTGATTCATGACATTTCATTCTCTTTTGTGAGGTTAGTGTCCATGAACACTGGGTATAAATTATATTACCTTGACCCTCCCCATTATTGTATATTTTAAGGTTTTACAACCTACAAAGTAACCTGCACTGTCAGATTAACGAAGGCAAGAGGAGGTCCTAACACAAATTACAGGTACCAGAATCAAACAAAGATGTGGCTACACTGATACATTAAATTATAAGGTTTTAAGTTCATATATTGAAGGAAAAATGAATGTTAATGAGTTACAATCTCAATAAATTACGAAAAGACATTACATCCAAATACATCAGTAAGATGGAATTTAAAACATAGATAGACATTGGCATTTGTTCCATTGTTCCATTATAAAGAAAAGATCGGACTTTAAAATGCCACATTTTACTGATGGCATTTTGGGGCATTTCTACTTATTCAAGTCTTGATATTCAAATTAATTTTTAATAAATACAGACCAGTAAACATTAATGTTGATTATTTTTTAAAATGCCTATAATTTGAATATATTTTATTATAGCCTTCCATTTGGAGATGAAAGAACCAACATTCAGATCATAGCAATATCAAGTTTTCCATCTGTTAGATCCATTTAAAGACTCTTGTGAACTGGCAAGGCCGGTGTCAGTTTATCATGGTAACCTCTTACCAGAGTCCATCCTGACTCTCCTCATAACATATAACTGAAACAAAACAGAATGGAAGCCATTCAGGTATTCCCCTTGTGTCTTTGAAGGATATTCCCCGAGTCTCTCCGATGGCTAATGGCTACCCAGCAGTTTGAGGCAGCAAAGAAGCTGATCCTGTACATCACACAGAAGAACTGTGTGAGCCCTGAGAGTGACATCAAGGGAGTGATGCCAGGTAAGGATACTATGGCTGGCCAGGGCACCTGAGGGCTGGCAGTTCTCTCGTCCAGAGTAACTGTCCTGGCTAGTGTTTGGCTTATGCTCCTGTGCCCATGTGGTTTGGAAAGTTTTGGAAAGGCAGCAGAGGCTGCTACAGTCTGAGAGTGAAAACAAACTGAAATCCTCTCTGCTTTAGGAGCTAGTTTCTTTCACAATCAAGTTGAACACACTCATCATGTTCTTTAGAGCCCATACAAAACCAGAAGCTGGGTGTGAGTTGGATACACACACAACCAGTGTTTATCAGGCATGTTCGGCTTTGTGACACCCAGCACCACCTTTCCATGTTTAAAACCTTGGCTCAGGCTGTGGATGGTGTAAGTGACCTCTCTTCTTGAGTATGATCTTCCAAGGGCTTCCATTGTCTATTTATGGCCATGACCTATTTGTTGGTCAAGGGAAGAAATGGAAACATGGACTATTTTTGTAGAGTGGTTCAGATCCATAGAATTCTTGTGAATCAGGGCATCAGCATAAGCTAAGTGGGGCTTTCAAGCTGGGAGTCTGTAAATGTCACCGGGAAGTTCTTCACAGCCAGGTTCCTGGCTTCCTTCCTGACATGCCAAGATACTGCCCTAGAAGATCTGAAAGAAGCCCTAGGAATGTGTACTTGTAGTGAGCTCTAGAAGATACTCTGATGCAAGGGACCTAAAGAGTCCCTTTGGAAAACGGCAGTCCCTTTGACCCACCATGTTAACATGAAAACCTGTATGCTTTGTAAACCCCTCCCCCAGGAAAGTAACTCATAGTAAGAGAGAGAGGGGTGAGGGAAGAGAATATGACTAGACTTTCCCAATGACTAGAATCATGTGATGGACATTCACTCATTCATTTATTCAGAATACAGACATTCACTAAGCATTCAATGACACATGACACTAGCTCACACAGATGGGATACATACATAAGGGGGTCTTCCGTGTACACTCAGTAGGAGGGGTAAAGTACTAAAGCAGAAGGATAGAGGGTAGTGACAAATTGCTGCAGTCAAAGTAACTAGGTAAGCCTGACTTTGAGACACTGGTGATGAGGAACCTGTGCCAGACAAGAGAATGTACACTGCAGGTCCCCCTTTCCAATGGGGAGGGGAGTGTGAGCAACCTGGATATTAGGAGCTTTTAGCACCCTTACTAGACTCCCATTTAGAAGATGGGGGCCCAACAAGGGTGGCATACCTATCTTTACCTGTGCCCAGGAAATAAAGGCTGGGCCACAACCACTTGCTGGGTGAGATGTGGTCTACCAATCCTTCATCTCAAGCAGGAACAACCAGGCCAACCAACAGCTCCGAATTCCCTGGAATGAAGGATACAAGCCATGAAGAGTATTGAGCTGGCTCTTCAGAGGACCCCCTTTCTCAGGAGCAGTATTAGTAAATGAGACAATACATAGTACCCATGTGCCAGTCCCCTTCTAAGTGATATGCAAAGATCAACTCATTTTGAATCGAGTTTGAATCCATCCTATATGTGGTATGCATGTGAACCTGTTTCTTCACAGCAGTCCATTTACAAGGGTTACTGTGGTACTCCTTATTTGCAGGGGTGAGAGGCTGAGTTGCTTTGCCAGAGGTCAGTTGGCTACTAAGTAGTTGAGTGGGAGTTGAACCCAGGAAGTGTAGCCAAAGTGGGTTGACTGTGCTGCTGAGAAGAGGGGGACAATGGAAACATATAGGGAAGGATGCTATTAAGGGACCCTTTGGGCCACGCCTGCCTGGCTTGAACCATCACATAGCTTCCTGCAAGCTTCTGTCCTCAAGTCTTACTGCACATTTGTCCCTGGCCCTCTAATTAAATCATCACACCCCACCTCTTTCAGGTTAAAATGTTATCTGGGAAAAGCTTGTTTTCTCAATCCTAATTACACTGACTCATCCCTAATTTTGGAAAGTGATATTAGCTCTCCTCTAACCCCATTCTTTGCTTGTAAGTTTGGTTGGGGCTTATCACTCTTCTGTGTCTCAGACAGGGGGCCAAGTAAGAGGTGATTTGTCCCCCTTGGTGACTAACAAAGAGGAGAAATGTTTCACCCTTCACCAGGATATGCCATCCTTATTGTGGTCACTGTAGCGTGCTAATTCACCCTGGCTCTCTATCTAACACCCATTCAGATGCATTCAGACAATAGTGTGTAAAACTGTCCAGCATGTGGGGGAAGAGACTGTTTTCTCTGGGACTCTAACTGCCTTAGCTCAGAATTGTACATCCTGGTTCCTCCTGTAGGTCCCCCATCAAGCTTGGGGTTCCTACCCAACTAAATTTCATGTGTACTCACTGTTCTGCCTGTCACTGTGTCCTCCCTTCCTCCATCAGCAGCCCAGGAACAATACAGTCACATCATCACCTGCTCTAGTGCCCCCCCCCCACGAGATCATAAGGAGAGAGCCCCCCAGCTTACATATAGATTTAGATACCCTACCTAATCTCTTCCTCCCCCAGGCCTCTGGTCTGTGTCCAGCTCCCATGTTCTTCCTCCTATAGACCCCAGCTCAGCAAAGTCCTGTCCATCATACTCTACATAGCCTCTACCCCTGTGTCAGCTGTAAAGAGGAGTTTGTCAGCATTACCTCTACCCCACAGAGACTCTGCTGCAGAGCCCAGGTTGTACCCCAATACCAGAGCAGCATCCATGAATATTCATGACATACAGGAATCCAGGGCTCCGGAGCCAAGAGGCAGGGCTGTTCCTTAGGGTGCCTCTGGGCAAAAAAGTGCCTTCCGCTGCGATGTAATAATGAGGAGGGGCCTTGTGCCCTGTTACTGCATGCTAGCATTGGATTGATGCTAAAAGAAAACCAATATCCCAAAACTTCCCATTTCTATTCTTTTAAAGCTCTCTTCAGTTTTTATTTGAGCCTAAGTAGTGGTCTTGGCAGCATGTAAAGCTGAATTAGACACTTGGGTGTGTTCCCAAATGTCATTCTCACAGTGTCATGATATGCCCAAGTATGACAGCTCTCCTTCCCAGGCCTGACTCAAGATTTTGAACACTTACAGTGGAAGAAAAGACTGCTCTTTCTTTGTTGACTGTAGCCCACAGAAAAGAAAGGAAGGCCAACTAACCTTGTGTCAGAGTCCTGCTTAGCCCTTTGCTTTCAGTGATGGTGAGGCCGGCAAAGAGACAAAGGGTAGAGATTGGGAGACCCAGGAAAATCTTTTGAGAACATTCCACCCTCCTCAGAGTCTCACACAAAGGGAAGCTTCAGCTCTCCCTATTTTACAGGTGATTAGTGGGGACTGGAGAGGCTGAGTGTTGAGGAACACTGAGTTCCCACTCCCAATATACTCCCTGGGAAGTTGCTCAATGAAGTGTCACTCGGTGGAGAGAGGGCACATGCATGGCCCTTTTCTTCTCCATGGGGAGAGAGGTCTATAGGGAGCAGGAGTCATTTGACCTCTCTTACAGAGCCCTCTGTGGGCAGCCTCATGGCTAAGCAATCCAAAGGTACCCAAGCTCAGTCCCAGAGAGACTGCCCAGGGTATGCTTCCATTGCCTTCCCTCTCTGCTACCCTTAGGAAGATATAGAGAGACCAGGCAACAACTCTTTGTTGCCTCCTGCATCAGCTCAGAGCTTGCACGCCAGCCCTGTCATATCCTCAGGGCTTAGCACCTGCCAGGACTGTGCTCCATTGGTGCCTAAAACCATGGATAGAGCCCACCTTTTTCCACAGGCTTGATTTTCCCTATAAATGCATATCTACAATAACATTTAATTTACAAATTAGGCACAGGAAAAGTTTAATGACAACTAATAACAAAGCTAGAACAATTATGACAATACAATTTATGAGTTTCTCGTTTCCAGAATTCCCCATTTAATATTTTCAGACTGGAGTTAACATTAGGGAGTTGAGACCTCCATTACAGTGGGCAGCTCTTCCAAGGAGCTTAAGAAGAAAGCTCACTGCTCCTAGACCTGGTGCACTGACCACAGTGGTCAAGGAATGTGGAGCAGGGATGGGGCCAGCTGGCATGCCAACATTAAATCTGCCTATGTCTCAGTTTGAAATTCTTTGACAGCACTGAGCCAAGAAGACTGGGGCGCTCTGCCTGGCACCTGTTTGCTTTTATTTCCTAATGCAAGAAGTTTGGGCTAGAGAGACAAGAACTCCTTATTTCCGGTGACCTCACGGGGTCCCAGCAGTTAGCTAATGCTTCCTACAATTTGGAACACATATGTTTCAACCCAGAAGAAAACACTTAAAGCTGTGAAAGTTTGATGTGGTTGATGACGAGCCAGTGGTATGAGTAACAGAGACCCTGACATAACATCAATAGTGCTGGAAAGTTAATTTAATTCCCTTTAGAATAATGCAATTACCACTGTAGACTACAGTCAATTCTTAGACTGGGCTCCAGGGTTTAATGTTATTTAAAAAAAAAAAAAACCCTCAGGTCATAATACAATTGCTATAGCTTCCTTGACATACTATTTCATTCACAATAATATATTAGCAGTTGTGCATGGTTCACTCTTGAAAAAGAAACAACTTTAAACTCTTATAAACATGCTGACAGATGTTTGGATTTCCATCTTGAAAGACTGCTGAGAAAGGGTGCCTATGACAGCTGACTTCTGATGTGTCTGTAACAGTGAAAGTAACCAGACCACTGAAGCTGAGACTATCTACCACTCGTGTTTCCAAGCTCTTTAACAAACACAGTCCTGCACTATGCAGCAAAGTGTCTGTCACCAGTGCACACACCACTACAGTCCCTAGGCTTTTCACAGAGTAATCATTTTCTAAGTATTGTAGCTCTCGTAGAGTGAGGTGCATTTCCTCATGCTTGTGGTGGTGGTCTTATGTGCATGGGTCGCACTGCCAGCTCTCTAGAATGCCAGCTCTCTAGAAGGCTGGCACACACGGTGATAGACAGTGCATAACAATAAAAAGACTGGTGGCTTGTGTCTTCACTAAACTATTCTTTCTACTGTTGTTTTAGAATGGCTTCCATAAATTTTAAGTGTTTCTTACAAAGCAGTGTACTGTGTGAGGCTGACAGCAGCCTCACACATCTCCTGTTTTTCATATCTCTGACTTTACCCAGAAGCCTCCTGGTATCACCTAGGGTTCTGTGAACCCTCTGTGGTATTTAAACAATGACAGAATCACCTGGTGACTTAATTTGCAGACCGTATCCCCTGACCCACTCATAAAGTGATTGATTCATGAGTGTATTGTTCCTTAGTCATAGAGAAAGGGCTACAGGTCAAATTAGCTAAGACACAACAGGAGACTTCTGGAGATGACAGGGTCTGTGGACAGGCCGCCAGAATACCAGCCATGTGGGCCTGGGCCAAGTTCTCACCCATACCTAAATATGAGAAAGAAGAATATTCTGGAAACTTGGCACATCCTCCTTCAGTCAGAGGAAAGATTTATTCTGTCTTTTCTGTGTCCTGGCTGGGGTGACAGTGAGTCTAAATCTTTTATTTAGAGCTAGGTATGATTGCATATGCTCATAATCCCAAGAATTTATGAATCTTGAAGCCAGAGGACCACTTGATTCATGAGTTTGGGACCAGTCTGAGCAACATAGTAGAACCCCATCATTAATAACAAACAAAACGGGTTAAATAAAAAATGTCTAAATGCCCCTTCCCCTGTATGCCTTTTTGCCACACTAATATAAACCTGGCTGGCCTGGAAGTCTCTGTGTAGACTAGGCTGGCCTCAAACTCTCAGGATATAATCTGTGCCACCATATAGGTCACTGGGCTACTAGCTCCCTATTTAAAATAAGTTTATTTTTCCTTCAAACTGTTATGAATGAGGTTTGTGAAAAATGAAATAGGAGAGTTGGAACATCCAGGATGGGTGTGCTGACTTAGAAAGGTGCAGCCTTCAGGGGAGCAGGAGGCAACAGCTGCCATTGCTCCACACCTAGGGACTGTTTCAGAACCTCCAGGATACCAAAAATTTACAAGGGTCCAACTTCCTTGTATGTAATGGTATAGTGTTTGCATAGAGCCCCCCACACAAACTCTGGTGCCCTCTAGACAATCTCTGAGCTATTCATGATGGCCAGTGCTGTGAAAATAGTTGTTACACTGAATTGTTTAGGTACTAGTAACAAGAAAAGAAGTGTACATGTTCAATCCGGATACAGTTTTTCAAACAATTTTGATGGTGATTATTTAAATCCAAGGCTTCAGAACCCAGACACACAGAGAGGGTAGAATGTGCCTCCAGGCCCCACGGCTTCCTCTGTCTCTATTCCCCCAGATATTTTTTAATTTTCAATGTCTTATTTTGGAACTGTTTCACATATACAGGAAAGTTGAGACAGTGCAGAACTTGTCCATAGTCCTGACTCAGTTTCCCCTGATGCTAAAGTCTGCTGTTACCATGATACATTTGTCAAAACTAGGAAAGTGGACACAAGTATACACTGTTGTTAAATGGCAGCCTCTCCTCAGTGCTGGCTTTCCTATCACTGGCCCCTCGTGCTCCAATGTCCTGTCCAGGGTGCAGTTTTCCATCACCTGGTTACTATCTTCTCTGGTCTTGACAGTTCTTCAGTCTTTCTTTGTTTTCATGACATTGACAAGTCTTAATGCACTGACTCCTTGTGGACCTGGGAAGCATCTTCCTGTTTTTGCTTCTAAGTAGGGAATGACTCCACAAGGGCATGGCAGCTAGAGAGCAGAAGGGCCCAGAAGGCTGTGTGAGCACTGCTCTCAAGTAACCACACAGCTCCTTCCACCTGAGGCATTTCCCATGTTCTGGTCTTCCCCATTAGACTGCCAGGCCAGCCCCAGGACATGAGCAAACTCCCAGCTAGGTTAGGGTAACGCTGAAGCACGGTTACACAGTTGGGGCTGGGATGAGCCTCACAAGCGCCTCAGTCATATAGCTTCAAAGTCTGTCACATCTCGAAGCCTAACACATTGTCCATCTTGTTCCACTCCCAAACACTTTGTTTTATTTTTTGAGTTCTGGGAGTGGAACCTAGGGCTTCAGGCCTCCTAAGCACAGGTTGTGGCACTGAGCTATACCCCATCCCCAAAGAATTTCAACTGTTAACTGAAGCATGCACAAATGTGTGTGTGTGTGAGAAAGAGAGAGAGAGAGAGAGGGAGAGTATACACAAATAGACATATAGTTTTGTCTTTCAGAGGTTCACATCCTCTAAAGTTGTTTGTAGCTTCAGTCCTAAAACATTCTATCTCTCCCAACCCCCGAGGCTAGGCAGGGCTCTGAGCTGTGACATAGCTGGTTGCAGTTTCCAGCAGGAAGAAATCACCTGTAGTATGTGCAGGATCTAATTTGGGCCTCAGTAGCCTAGACTCCCATGGAGTGATACGTCCAGGCATGTCTGTCTGTCCATGCGTGGCCTGGTTCTATAAGCAGAGCTTGGTTGGAAACGTATGATGACAGTGTGTTTTGTGCCCTTTCAGTTGTGGTGGGGAAATCTGTCCACCGAGTGCGTCTCCTGAGCACATTTCCAGCCAGTAAGCCTAGACCCTCTCCCCTGGCTTAAAGGCAAGGCTTTCTCCTCTACAGATGGTCCTGGATAGGGAAACAAAAGCTGTGTTGTAACTGTGTCTGGAACCTTCGGTCCTACTCAAGCTCCTGGGTCTGTCTCTTGCAGAGCTAGAGAAAGAACTTTCACGGAGGCCCAAGAAGGTGTGCATCGTGAAGGTGGTGGGGACGCGGAACCTGTGGAAAAATATCGTGGTTCTATGTGTGAACTCGTAAGTCATGGGAAACACATGTAGTCAGAGCCAGAGGGACCCTACTCCCACCCTAGATGAACCCTGAATCCCAGCCTGCCCCATGCCCACTTGTCTCAGCCTGTCTCTATAAAAGAAGCCCCAAAAGTATGCCTGGGCTGCCCATCTGTAGGTTCTAAGGACCAAGAAGCCTTAGGCAGCCAGCACTGAAATTGCCCTCAGCCCAGCCTCCTGCCCCATGTCAGTGTCCTGCATGGTGCCAGAGCTCCTGGGGCTTTGAGCAGAAGGAAGCCAGGAAGCCTGGTAAGGTCCTGCAAATACTTGTGTCCTCAGAACAATACCCTTCCTCTATGCATCTATGAGAATGACTTAGATAGTCTCCTTCACCCCAGTTCTAGGGAAGTTCCTAAGGTTGGGGTTCCTGGCACTGTCTAGGGACAAGGGTTGATCCCATGGGGTCTTGGCCAGGGCCCCCACCCAGGCTCTGAAGGACTGCTCTTCCTGCATGCAGTTCTGGCCACCAGGCCATCTGCTCAGAGTCCTCTATTCTGCAGAGGGCAACTGCAGTCAGAGGCGTGTTGCCTGACTGCAGAGAAGACATTCAGGTTCTCTCAAGAGGCCTCTCCAGACAGTTTCACCCCTGCCTGCTGGGTCTATGGTTCATGAAGTTTTATGGCTACCCCAGTTCCAGGGCTAGGTGTGTACCTGGAAGTTCCTTCCGGTCTTACCTCAGAGCTCCATAACCTAATCCTCCCTGACTGTACAAAGTGGACCTTTGGTTAGAGTAGAGGTCATCTGGGAGATTAGCTATCAGTAGGCATTAGAAGTCATCTGGGAAGAGGTGAGTGTGTGTGTGTGTGTGTGTGTGTGTGTGTGTGTGTGTGTATTTGTAAGTGTGTATGTGTATGTATGTGTGTGAGTGTGTGTGTATGTGTGTGAGTGTGTATATGTGTGAGTGTGTGTATGTGGTGAGTGTGTATCTGTGTGAGCGTGTGTGTGTGCACGTATATATGAGTGTATGTATGTGAATATATGTGTATATGTGTGAATGTGGCTGTGCATGTATATATGAGTGTGTGTATGTGTGTGTATGTATGTATGTACATATGAGTGTGTATGTATGTATATATGAGTGTGTGTATGTGTGAGTGTGTGTATGTGTGAGTGTGTGTGTGTGTAAGATCTCAAGGCTGTCTTCAAGGAGAGCAGCTAGGGCAGCAGCCTCCCGTTCTTTACAGCTTTCCTGCTAGAACAGCGCTGTGAAGCCAACAATACTGAGGGACCCAATTCACTTTTTTAGGTACAAAAGGTGTTACTACCCATCAATAGAAGAGCAAAGATCCAATCCCAGTCAGATCCTACAGTGCTAATCCAGCCAGGCCACACAGAGGTCAGAGCTGGAGTCCTCAGGCCTCCCCTTCTTACCAGCTCTAGCACCAACCAAGATTTGCCCTGTGCTATCTGCTGGTCTGCCAAGTGGAAATGACTGTGTTCTTGTGCTGACATGAGAGTAAATTAGTTAAAGAAGGTGCTTTGTCCTACACCTGGGTGAAGAAAGGACCTCACGGATATTTCTTTGATGTCTCTTTGAACTTAACTCCCTCATGGGCCCACATGTAGTTTCGGCGTTGTTTCCTGTCACATGTAAAATGCTTCTCTGTCTCTTGGGCATCTCTAGGAGACTGGGCAGCCCCTCCTTTCAGTGCACACTGCCCACCCTCTCAGTGTGTGTGTGTCTCCTGCAGGCTGACAGGGTATGGAATCCACCATTGCTTTGCAAGAAGCATGATGGGCCACGAGGTGAAGGTGCCACTCCTGGAGAACTTCTACGCTGACTACTACACCATGGCCAGCATCGCACTGGCGTCCTGCCTGGCCATGTGTGTGGTAGTCAGGTTCCTCGGGCGCAGGGGAGGGCTGCTGCTCTTTATGATCCTTACCGCCCTGGCCTCACTTCTGCAGCTTGGGCTCCTCAACTGTGAGTAGGCTGGACAAGGGAGACAGGGGAAGGATGCTGGGGAAGGGGGCTGACATACTACCAGAGCACTTGGAAGGCATGGCAGCTTCCTGTTTCTGTAACAAAATACCTGGGGGGAAACTCAACTTAAAGAGGGGAAAGATTTGTTTGGCCTATAGATTTGGAGTTTTCAAGTAGCCCATGGTTTGTTGACCCATCTGGGCCTGTAGTAAGACAACACACCAGGACAGGAGCATATGACAGAGGAATCTACTCCCTTCATGACATGTAGAAACAACAGAAGAAAGGGATCTGTGGCCCTAATGTCCTCTTTCAGGGCATACCTCCAAGGACATAAATTTTCTCCCATGAGGCTCCACTTAGGCATGTTCTTATACGTTCTATACTTAGCTGGGCAATAACCAGAATGAATGAGCAGTGGCCATTCTCCCTGCCTCCCTGGATGGACACTACCTAGCAGCCCTTCCAGAGAGTTTCTGTCCAACTTACTCAGTTAGAGCAAATGTGGCAGGATAGCCTCCAGAGTATCCTATTTGGCAGTGAACAGGAATGCCACAGGGACTCTGGGCAAAGGGCAAGTAGCTATGAGGAACAGGCTTTGGGGAAGCAGAAATGTGGCCTGACGGGCCTGCTCCTGGTGCCCAGTGCCCCATTGAATAACTTTCTATGCAAAGATGTTCCCTTTAGATCTGCTTGGGTCCTCTCTCAGACTGCGTTGTCTCCCAGACTCTGTGGTCAATAGACCACAGCCCTCTCTTCACACAAAAAGGTCTTTGTTTAGTCCAGTGTGAATTCCACTGCCCAGGCAGCCAGCACCAACTCAGACTTGAAAGGAAGTTCACTTAGAAACAAGTCACGTGGGAACACTCGGCAGTTGTCCCATGCCTAACAAGCCTTCTCGTCTCTTCCCGCTCCCATTACCCTGTGCATGTGGGCGCACCCATTCCATGGTTCCAGTGATCGGCAAATACAGCCAGCATCCAGACTCAGGTGAGTCCTAAACACTTGTGCTGCCTTGTCTTTTATTGTGTCCACACAACCATTGCCACAAAGACTCACCAACTGGTTTTCGTTTCCTCTCTTTCTTCCACTCTTTGCCCTTCAAGAATTGCAGCTGAAGTTGGCCGTAGGTTGGACACTATAAGCATACATTTGTATTCTCTATCCCCATCTTGCACTAGAGAAAGCAACTTGTGTTTCCCTGGTTTTGTGCAGCTTGGCATGCATGCCCTCCCAGTCCCCTGATCCGGCACCAGTGCTGTTTGTCCTTGGCCAGCAGCTAATCAGGATGAGAAGGCAGAAGGGTTGGGGCTTGGCTGTGCTATAGGGAGAGCCATTATCTCCTCATGACTCATGCAAGCTTGCCACTCTCCAACTAAGGGAACAGCAGAGGTGCTGCTCCATACTCCATGTTGCTGTCCCACCTGCCTGACCCAACCAATCCCATGCCACCAGTGCCTATGAGAGCACTTGCCCTCCATGCAATCCTGAGGGCCCCAATGCATGCCAAAACGCTGTGTGCAGTGTTGCCTCATGCCAGCCAGGATCCAGTGCCAATCTCCAGGCACAGAGATTGCTAAGTGCTTTTCCTCCTCCGGGCTCGTGAATTATTCCATTTGGTCATGTGTGGTTTTGTACCCTTAAATCAACATTGACTCTGGATTGGGTGGGTCAACCCTGAGATTGTCGTCTGGAATCTAGGGCAGATGGTATGCCACTGTGGCATCAGGCCCCACCCCCCAGACTGCCTTCTGCCTGGCACAGCCTCTGGATGAGGAATTCTACAGGCCACTGTGAGCTCAGCATGCTTGGTGCCCAAGAGACTTACAGAGGCCAACAGCAGAATGTTTAAAGGGCTCCAGGTTCCTAAGCCTAGAGGACTGCCCACCCAGAGGTCACTGCATGCCCAACTGTACCACAAACTGGGTATTGGGGAGGAGGGAGCTCCTGGGCTATCCCAGGCTTCCCTTCCCCAATCCTCACCCCAGTTCACCCCTTGTCTGGCTTCTGTTCTCTTCCCTTCTCTCCTACCTCATGGCCTCCTTCTTTGGATTCTTACCCAGGGATGAGTGACAGCGTCAAGGACAAGTTCTCCATCGCATTTTCCATCGTGGGCATGTTTGCATCCCATGCAGTGGGGAGCCTCAGCGTGTTCTTCTGTGCAGAGATCACCCCCACAGTGATAAGGTGGGTGATGGGATAATGCAGGACTTTCTTCTCAGAACTCAAGATTGGTCCATGTCTAGAGCAGCCTGTGTGTAAGAACTGTCATCAGTTCTGCCCCACCTAGGCCTCTGGACCAGGGTGTGGTGGAGTGCAGGGCATGTTGCCTGCCTGACTCACTGTCTGATGATCTGCTTCACCCTGACTCTCAGGGTCAGGTGGGAACTCAACCCTAGGTCCCATCATGACAGTTACCAGGGGAGACAAGGAACTGTTTAAGGTACAGGAAACATGACAAGAAATAGAAAGGGGAGTAATAAGTAAATCACTTTTGCTGAATTGTGGTAAAAAGCGCTGTCCACTGACTGACTCAGGACCAAGCTATTTCAGACAAAAGAGAAGGTAGGTACATCCCACCTGTAATCCTAGATTCTCAGGAGGCTGCAGTAGGAGGGTAGAGACTTCCAAGCCAACATGATCAACACAGCAAGACCCCATCTCAGCAAAAAGATGAGGACTGGGGATGTAGCTGAGGTGTTTGCCTAGCATGAGCAAAGCCCTGGGTTCAATCCCCAGCGCCCCGTAAACTGGTTTTAGTTTTGCATGCCTGCAATCCCAGCACTTGGGAGGAGGAAGCCAAAGAATCAGAGAATCCAAGGTCAGACTAGGCCATATATATGAACAAATTAGAAAACTGTTAGATAGAACTTTTTTTCTTCCTGGCCTGAGAACCTAATCACTAATCCAAAATTATATCAATGACTTAGTTAAGAAAGAAATCAAGGGCCTAATACTTTGCCAGCATTAGGCTAGGTAGGTAAGTAAGGCCGTGCAGATCCAGGTCTGAGAAAAGTTTGTCTTTCCCTCATAAGAGGTCCTAAGTGTTTGTTTGTAAAGTGGGATTACTGTACCTGGGTAGTGGTGCATTTGATCCCACTGGGACTGTAGTATAATAAAATTGGGGGATATTTGAAAGAGCATCACCTAACTGAGTCCCCTCTACCAGACACCTTCCTCCTAACACAGGGTGAACACTACTGAAGCCCAAAACCTGACATCTAAAACATTCCCAACCCAACACTGTTTTTTTGTTTTGATGTGGCAGAAGAAAAAAAAAATGTCAATGGGACAAACAGCATTTGTCCATAAACTTCTGTTTAGTGGACAAAATTGTTTTAAATATTGTATAAAATGACCCTCAGGCTCCACAAAGCATATGGGAGACATAAACGAATCTGTGTTTAGGCTGGGATTCCCTACTCCAAGATAGCTCAAGTTGTGTATGCAAATATTCCTAATTCAAAGGTACAAATCCCAAAGCATTCTCAGTAAGCGACTTCACTGCAGCTGCCACTTATTCCCCCTGCAGGGCTTGTGCTGCAGGCTTGTACTGCAGGGCGTGCATGGATCACACGGAGCTCCTTATTAGAATTGCATTAGCATTTCTCACACACATGCTCTTTTGAAATTGTGAGGGGGCAGTTGTTATTCAGCTGTGAGCTGAAACCCAGAAGTCAGCACGATAACACCCTTCAGAAGAACAAGCAGGCAGGCGTTACATTCAGATGGGACTCCGAGAGACTAATTATTTCAGGCCCTCCGGTGCTGGGACGGCTCCAGCTCGGGGAGCAGGTAGACAGGACTGTGGACTTACCTCCTTGCTGACAACAGAATTTTCTCATGACCTCATTTTGACTCACTCTCTTGGATTTTTATAATACAAGCTGAGGCTGCTGGCTATTGGTTCCTGTAATAAAATACCTAGTCATTGTATATTTAGGGAAAAGCAATTAGGCAGCTAGTAAGCCCTCTAGTTCCTGCCTTCTGCATGAGTCAAAGGCAGATGGACCAGAGGCTTGTTTTGCGCTTGCAGTTGTGAAACACCGAAGGCACACAGCAACTTACTCTTTCCCCGCCTAGCTAAATCCCATCCTTTATAAAAGAATCCAGAAAGATAATCTCTCAGATAGAACACAAGTCTCCACTAGTCCCGGGTTTCTGGTAGCCACTGGCAGCCATTGCATGACTCTCTGTACTTGTCTGGGGAAGACACCCCTTAATTCTGGCCTCCTTGTCAGTGTGCTTAGCAGGTGAGAATGAAAGAAATGTGGTATCCTTTTCCTCTTTGATACAAATCTGGAAAAATTATTTGGGGATAGAAATTGAACAAATACATCCTAATGTTCAGCTTGCCAAGATGACAAACAAGAAAAATATTTGGCCCTGGGTGATGTTTTGTACCTGCAGATGGCAAAAGGAAACTGAGTCCAGTTCCTAGCCAGGCTGAAAGAGTCTCTGGGAACTCTTCCCACCAGTGTTTTTTGCAGCTTTTCCTTGCAAATACGCCAATGAAGAATTCTCATGAGAGTCACTGGGTAAACATGCAACTTCCATACCACCCACTGTTGTAATTTAAGAAAATTTAAAAGGCAGACACCATGCAACAGGGTTCATGCAGAGGGTTTTTTTTAATTAGGGAAAGGGATCATAAGAAGGGGAAAGGGAAGGGAGGAGACTGGCCTCTGGAGACAGGAGCAGTAGGAGAGAGGAAAGAGGGAGAGGGAAAGGAAGAGAGAGAGAAGGATGGAAGGTGGTCAGGGCCCTTTTAAAAGGGGAACATAGTGAATGTGCATAGGAGGTGCTCTTAGTGGCTGCAGCTGAGGGTGTATCCCGTCAGAACCCCAAGGACAGGCCAGTACAGATGCCTGAATACTAACACCTACGCACAGGATGGAAATAAGATTTGATTTGGTCTATAGCGGGGAGCCACTTAGCCTCCAGACCACTGTGCTTACCTCTAGCCAGGCAGCAGCTTCTGAGATTTGTTTCCTAGGCTCTGGGCATTAGGTGAGTTGAAGACGGGCTAGGAAAAACCGGTTTCCATCCTTTCTCCCCAGTTTCTCTCCATCTTGGACAGAAGTGACTTGGGCATTCAAACATGATCTAGAAATAACCAGTGACTTTTATTATGGTGGATCACCTTTTCTTCCCACTGTTATCTAGAAGCTGAAGGTAGAAGCTCCTGCAGCCTACAGTGGCTTCCTTTCTTCACAACAACAGGACAAAGGGAAGAGAATGGGCAGGCGATCCTGACGAGCTGACAGTCTGCATAATTCCTCACCAGTCCATGGAGTTCTGGTGATGGACTTTTGTCCTTGCCCCATGCACTCTCCCTGCTTTTGTATCTACTAACTACTGCTTGCCTCTACTCAGGCGGCCCTATCTCTTTACTCTGGTCCAGATGGTGTGCATCAGATTGGCCTTGAGACTCTTCCCTCTGAGCAGGGTCCCCATGTCTGTCTTCTGCCCTGATGTTGCTTCAAGACAAGGCATCACAGAGAGACAGAATTACTGTCCATCCCCACAAACAGACAGCATTTGTTTAAGGAAATGATGCACCAGAGTGTGGCTCAATGGCACGGCATGTGCTGAGCATGAACACAGCCCTGTGTTTAATCCCAAACACCCATACCCAATAAACCATGGCTACCGGACATATATAGTCCTTACCAGGACCCCCTAAACACCTATTTACACTGCATTTGCATTGTGTTTGGTATTTTGAATAATGGTAGGCGCCTACCATTATTCATAATACCGAATGAAAAAGTTATAAAGGTTCCATGCACTACGTCAGCATTTTCTAAGAGGGACTTGAACATCTGAAGACCTGGGGGGTCTTAGAAACAGCCCCCCTACAGATACCAAGTGAGAACTGTATATGTAACTCGGCAATTTGTGTGAGTGTTCATACCTGGATAATTCTGGCAGCTCTCCATTTTTATGAGCAATTGAGTGCAATATTTGTGCATCCTTAACTTCACATAAATGCAGTCAAGAAAAGCTATAAAAGAGGAGGTAAACATGGGGTGGCTATGTTCATGTTGGTGGTTCACATTTATTTGTGACCTACACTCTGCTCCCTGTAGTACCCTGTGGGCCGTGGTTGTTTAGAGGCCATTACCCAAAGTAAAGCTATCCAGTGAGCTGTAAAATTTTATGTTTCTAAGAAACAACATTCTCTTTTGTCTCTGTAGAAGCCTCACTGGTGTATAAACATGGGCTTACGCTGCCCTCTAGTGAACACTCAGAGCAACAGCATGTGCCTGTGGCTGCTCAGACTTTTGGAGGGAAATGAATTGAAAGCCAAGCATGTAAAGATCCCTACAGGCTTCAAAAGACAAACAAAAATGGTATATAGCTTTCTCACAGAATTATCTGTAACATTATTAAATTCAAGGAATCACTGGTAGTGAAACAGAAAAGTTTTCTCATAGGAAAAAATGAAGATATACAACTGTTTCAAACATTGCTTAACGACAGGACATGTGGGGAGCTATAAGTCATTATGCAGACATCCTAGAGTAACTTATCCACACATAGATGCTCAATGCTGTTTACTATGTGGCCTCTTTATGCAATCAAGAGGCAGTGAATGAAACCTGAGGTGCTGGTGGTATAGTGCATAAGCTCTCGTGTAGCCCAGGCTGGCCTTGAACTCACTGTCCTCATACCTCGACCTCCAGAGTTCTGGGATTACAGGGCATGCTACCACATGGGGCAAACTTGTTTTTAAAGTAGAAATGCTTTATAGTAGTATGTAACACATACCCACAATAGAATCATTTAGCATCCCGGGGTATTAGGTATTGCACTTCATTCTATGTGCTGTCTTTTAATATGATTGACTGCGCAGTAGGCATGCCTACACCCGCAATGTTACAGTCATGTAGGAATGGGTTGTGCCATGACAGCTGTTACAGCAGCAGCTATGATATCCACAGGGGCACAAACGTTCCCTTTCTCTATAATCCTACGAGACCACTACCGGATGTGCAGTCTTCCCCTGGCAGCAATTTTAGGCAACACAGTGGATTCTGTATTGCTCATGTATATGAACATACTAAATATCATATACATATATCTACATTTAAATGAACTGTAAATCAAATATATTTCACTCAACATGATTTATTAATATGGTATATTACTTTGATTGCTCACTTGGTGTCAAGTGAGGCTTTCCTGGGGTTGAGAAGCTTTACACACTTCCTACATGGGGGACTGTATTCTGCTTCCCTGCATGGCAACTCTACATGGGCAAGGACACCAGCCACACTTAGTTCCAGCTGAGAAAGCAAAAACCAGAGGAAAAACAACCTTACTGATGTCAAAGGTCCCAGTCAAACATGTCCCTGACATCTGACACACCCTTCCCATCCTGTGGCTTCCCAGGGGGGCCAGATTTACCAAAACTTCTGAATGGCTATTTAGGTATTCACATTATTTGCCTGATGGATGGACTCAATCTCATTGCTCTCTAGGAAACGTGAGCCATGGGCATCCAGTATTTATTACATGCAAACTATGAGACAGCAGATGCTCCAGGAAATAATCCTTGCCCTTGAAGGGTCCATGGAGGAGCAAAGGCAATAGGCTTATGAGCTAATGTCGACAGAAAAATGACAGTGTCTTTCAAAGTTGGTCTAGGGCACTGCTTGAGAAAGGGCTGGTATCCGGACCCCAACAAGAAAAAAATGTGTCCCTCCTCAGTGCACCCCTTGCCAGGCCAGCAGTATGACTTTCTCTGTGGCTCTTTCGGTGCCCCCTCGGTGAAGAACTGTGTAATACAAAGAACTGAGGACATGGCAGCCTGGGTGAGAGGTTCCATAGCTAAGGCTGGACATTTCCACTGCAGTACTTATCTACTTCTACATAACAAATGACTCAAATGCTATGGCTTGTGGTAGTATCTATAGGTCAGTGGTCTGGGCAATGCTTAGCTGAATCCTTGTCCCAAGCTCCATGAGCTGCAGTCCTCTGAGATAGGAGGCTCAGCAGTCATTGGCAGGATCCAGTTCTTCAGGGGTTACAGAGCATCAACTGGAGGCCATTGCATTTCCTGCTGTGTGTGTTCCAACAACACAGCACCTTGTTCATCATAGGCAGAGTCTGTGTACCCATTTCTGGAAGGGACATCTCACTAGTTTTGCAGTGCTTTATTGGCAAGAAATTACATATTTCTTCCAGCCCCTACATAAGGCAAAGGTTAAAAGTACTAGAAAGTAGAATCATCTTCTTAGAAATCTGACATGATGCCAAGTAATGCCAAGGACCAGCTGGCTAGATCTTACCCAGAGAGAATACCAGGGACTATTGAGCAAGATTTGGTCTTGTCCTTGAACACTTCTCAAGTACAGAAACACAAAGACATGTACCATAAGGATATAGTCTCCCTAGAGGGAGGACTCCAGGAAACCAGGAGCAGCTCTGCAACTTACTTAGCCTGGATTCCACAGAGCTCACAGGGAAGTCCCAAGGAAGCCAACTTGAGCCAGGCTTTGTGCATTGTGCCTGGGAGGAGGAAAGAGCACCGAGTCATGTCTCCTCCATCAGCCCAGGATTGGTCTGAGGACCTTACTCTTAAAAGGGCCACTGAGAGGCCCCTGAGCAGTCCAGGGTGGCATGGAGAGGGAGCAGAGCCTCTGGACTCTTGGGAAGAAGAGACGAGGCTGGCAACTGCCTCACTCAGATTATGAGATGATGGGGATCTGTACCAGGCGGTCTGGCTCCACATTTGGAACAGTTTGGGAGTTAGCAGTTTTAGTGGCATGTACTTTTACATAAGATTAATCCATTTGGATTATATCTAGTTCATCCTCCAATCATAGACTACTTCCATCACCCCCCTAAAGAAAAACATCCTCATGCCCCTTTGCAGTTTCTACCTCACTTGTAGCCCCAGACAATCACTGTCCTGGGGCAACATTTCTGACATTTCATATAAATGGAACCATACAGTCAGCATGATGCTTTTCATGGTGTAACATGTCAGTATTTTGTGCTTTAAATGGCTAAGCAGTATTCCATTATATATGGATATACCACATTTTATTTGTCACTCACCAGTTGATAGACATTTGGATTTTCCCCAGTGCTATAAGGCATAAACATTTGCTTATAGATTTTTGTCTGGGCATGTTTTTACTTGTTTTATACATGGAATTGATGGTTATATAAAAATATGTTTCCTTCTAAGATAATACTAACCTGTTTTCCATCCTGTTGCCAGGCTGTCAGAGAACTCCAGCCCCTCTAGGTCCTGGCCAGCATGTTGTTCTGTCCTTTAGTCCAGGCTTGCTCACAGGTGTGAAGTGGCCTCTCAATGTGGTTTTGATTTGCAACTCTGTTAGCAAGGACACCATGCACCAACCCAAGCTTCTCTCTCTAGATTTTTGTAGGCAATCCCACAGAGGAGAGGGGTTGGTGTAAGTACAGACATTTCACAGCCTGTTGGCATGCTATGATGGGTGACACTTTGTTATTCTTTTAAGCCATCAAGGTAAATACTCAATATCTCTTGCATAGGTTTCTCTGCCTTGAACATAGATACCAGCTTTCTTAGGAATTCTGCGTGGAGATTGTAGCCATTCCAATTTTTGTGAAATTTTAGAATTCATATTAAAGTTTGTGTTTTGGATTTACTTGTTTGCTTACTTATTGGGACAGAGAGAGAGAGAGAGAGAGAGAGAGAGAGAGAGAGAGAGAGAGAGATAAAATACCTGTTGATACATTTTCCCCATTTTTCAAGCCAAGTTGAGTTCTATATATGTTATGGACATACATCCTTTGTCAGAGGCAAGCTTTGCAAGCATTTCTCCAAGATTGTGTGGCTTCTACTTCTGAATTATATATCTTTTCGGCGGGGAGTAATTTTGACTGAGTCCAGCTGATCAGCTTCTGTGCTGTCACAACGATCTTCACTTATGGTTTTGGGGAGTCCGTTCATTTCATGTGAAGGAGATTCGGCCTTCATTCTTTGGCACACAGACCTCATTCTTGGGCACACAGACTACCCTACTGCACAACACTGCTTGTTACACATCTGCTCTTTGCACCACAGTGTGTGCCTTTGTCAAAATCCAAAGATGTAAAGTCCTGTTTCTGAACCCTCGCTATTCTGTGGGTTTGCCTCTACTGCCAACACACTGAACACAATGGGAACGGTATGTCTTACTATATTCTTGTTTCAAAATCCCTTCCTGACTATTCCAGGTCTTCTGAATTAACATGCAGAAGTTTGTGGATAAGTTCATTCTTAGCTAAGACGTTGACAGGGATGGCAAAGAGTCCACAGCTCGATTCAGGAAGACTTAGCATCTTCACAATACCAAGTCTTCCAATCCATTTACCTTTAGCTTCATAAACTTTCCATCAACAATGCATTTGCTTTCTTGAACACATTTTAATTTCATTTCTGAACTTGATGTTAGTATAGAGACATGTTGTGTTGACCTTGTATCTTAGTACTTTGTAGGGTAGTCTTTTTTGACTTGGGAGCCACCACCTACAGTACTGTTGTGGGAATTCATTCCGCCAATAGTTTTGGGGGTACTGGCCTTAGGGCATGGTCAGGATAAGCTGGAGAGGAAGTGCACTTGTGCTCTCTTGTTCTGGCTTGTGCTTGGTGTGGTCAGACACCAAGGGACCAAGGGATGGAGAGGCGGGATCAGTGGTGGCTGGATCAGTAGCGGTTTCTGCTTTGTTCTGTTTTTGTGAGTTTTGTCTTTCCATAGCACCCCTTAATAAATCGATTTTTATTACCTCTGTGAGTTCATGCATCATAGTACCAAGTAAGAAAACCATAAATTGCTCAAGAGCTGACTCCCAGTTGCAGCAGGTATGTCCCCTTCAGCCATTTATTTCCATTCCATGTTTGAGAACAAGGTCCCTTTGCTGCAGTGGCGCATACATCTTGAGCAGCTCCTTTGTAAGGTTTGTCCTGATGTCCACATCCCTGTACGTCCTCTCTGCTGTTCTTGAGGGTGGGCAGGCAACAGTATTCCTCCTGCTGGAGATAAGACCACCTCTACCTTCCCCCCAGGCCTGGGGACTGGGACCAGACAGTTTTCTGTCCTATTACCTGGCACTATGGTCTCACTCCAACACTGTGCCACTTTCTTAGTACCCACAGAGAGAACCTTTAGTCCCAGGAATGTTTTTAGGTCAACATAGAGAAGTTAGAGCAATAGGAGGAGGATGTCTTGCAGCATTGTTGTGTGTCCGATAATCTCTCTGGGATTCTTGAGGGTTCTTCACTTGCCAAAGGAATAGAGATAAATAATTCCCACTAAGGTTTGGCCTATCTGATCTCAAAGTTGTAGGAATCCACAGATACAGCCAAGATGAAGGTGGCTTGGGATGTCACACCTATGGGGACTACTGGGTGGTACCAATCAGAGCAGGACCCAGTACAGAGACAGAACTTCCATGGTGCCTTAATCCATTTTCTGTTGTAGAAACTGACAATGTATAAACCACCTAGTTTATTCAGCTATGGTTCTGGAGGCTGAGAGGTCCAACATAGGGGGTTATACATGGATCCTTGATAATGGGCTCTGCAGAATCCCAAGGTAGTGCAGGGCAATACATGGTGACACAGCAAATATGCTAGCTCAGGCTTCTCCTCTCCTTATAAAGGCCTTATAAAATTATCATCATGGGGGCCCCAAGCTCTTGACTGCATTTAATATCCATTATTCCCAAAGGCCCCATAGCTGAATTCTACCAACATTTGAATTTGATGATGAAGTTTCTAATACTGGAAGTTTGTGCCATGAGCAGTGCCATGAGCTTACCCTAATCTCCCATCAAGCTGCTGTCCTACTCCACCCTCCTTGTTTCAAACACCGTACCCTTCTTTCAAGCCTGTGCTCTCTCTCCCCCTGCAGGTGTGGTGGGCTGGGGCTGGTGCTGGCCAGTGCAGGCTTCGGAATGCTGACAGCACCCATTATTGAGCTGCATAACCAGAAAGGCTACTTCCTGCACCACATCATCTTCGCCTGCTGCACGCTCATCTGCATCATTTGCATCCTCCTGTTGCCCGAGAGCAGGGACCAGAACCTGCCCGAGAACATCGCCAATGGGGAACACTACACAAGGCAGCCATTGCTGCCACACAAGAAGGGAGAACAGCCACTGCTGCTCACCAACGCGGAGCTCAAGGACTACTCCGGCTTGCACGATGTGGCTGCAGTGGGTGATGGGCTACCAGAGGGGGCCACTGCCAATGGCATGAAGTCCATGTAGCTTGCTGGGCCACACCACCATTCCACCAGTACCCCCGGGGCTTGAAGGGCTGGGGAAAGTTTGCACACAGATTAACAGACCAGAGAGAAGACACATGCCTGGGGGAGCAAGTCCAACTCTGCTGCTGACTCCACTCAACCGTGAGACTTTCAACTGGTGTGGGGAATTCTGTCTTTCCAGACATCCGAGGAACAGATCTGAGAAATCAGGTGTTTGGGAAATAACCCTTTGAAGACTTTCTTTTCTGCCATTAAATGTTTGTATTTATTTTGGTCATTTTTACGAGAAGCACTTTATTCCCTTCCCTCTCCCTGATCATGAAGTGGAACCTTCTTCAGGAGTGAGGCAGGGTCACTCTGAGGAAGTCCCTGTAAATGACCAATGCAGTGGCCAGTCCCCTCCCTGGAGGCCAGACTCAGTCTCCTTCTCCACTCACGGAGACAGAGGTCATCTGTAGGCCAGGACCCCTACCTCCAGGCTCACTGCCGTGGACAGTTGTGCCTCTCAAGCGGAGCATTCTTGGGACTCTATTTTAGACAGAGGAAAATGTACATGAATTGGGTTTTTTCTATAGTCTGTATATTTTACAGTTGTGTTTTTTCCTTTCTGTTTGTAAGGTAGTTTCCATCCCATGTGTTGGGAAAGCAGCCCCAAGTGTCATAAGAGCCAGCTTAAATCTTCCTTTCCTTCAGGAGCATCCTTTTGTACTTGATCTGGAAGTTTTTGTGGGGAAACTTCCATCCTTCACCAGAAATCCTACATGATGAGAAAGCACCAGTTTCCTGACACTGGGTTTGCTTAGTTAAATCCACAGTAGCTGTTGTGTTGAGGTCTGAGACGTTCATTTCTACTAAGACATTTTCCTAGACTGAGTTCCAGCAGCAAAGGTCCCTCTTCCCCCAGTCAGCTCTGTTGCCAGCACTACTTGAAAATGTGGTTACTTTCAGAACTCCAAACAACAGGAAAATAACCGAAACAGACAACTAAGGCAAATCCCAGGAGGGAGCCTTGCTCACCTGCACATGGCCGCCGCCCACATCTCCAGCACACACCACAGAGAGCTCCAGCTTGGATGGCTGTCACTCTGACATCACTACAATGCCCATGGCACCTGGAGGCGGTTCACCTCATGTCTTCCTCAGTGGCTTCCTGCCTGTCACTCACTCAGCACAAAAGGGCCCTGGGCAGGAGAGCAGGCTGCTCACAGGCAAGTCCACGTGGCCTGAGGCCCTTTAAGGCAGCAAGAAGTGAGAGAAAGCAATAACTCACCAAAGCTCAACTCCCATCTTGTGCCAGCCTCCCAGGATGTCCCTTATCTGTATCCCTCATCTTGCCCCAGACACCAGGGCACCAGGGCTGCTGAGAAACCAGCCTCTGGACCTCTTGCAGCAGCTCAGGCGCCAGCCTCTCTGGGCATCGTGGCTTCTTATCAACCATCTGCCTTGCCTCTTGCCATGTGTCTCTACCGTGTGTTCTTCCAGGGAAATCATGGTCTCAGGCCTATGTAGGCAACTAAGCAACTTCTAAGTGACAGTTGCCAGAATTCAAAGGCCAGAAAACAGTTGAATTTATCCCCTTCCAGCTCCTTGTCTGGTCTGCTTCTTACAGTCTCACCTGCTTCTCCTCCCCACTTGATAGATACTTCAGCAGAAGCCAGCTGCCTTGATCAAAACTTCTTGAGGGCAATGATGTGATACGTCATGTTTCCAGCACCTGACCTATGTTCTCTTCAATGCCTGGGGTCCTGAGTGCTTTGCCGAGGACCAGTGTCTAGGAGGGAGGTTGTGTGGCTAGTCCCTGCTACCTGCTCCAAGTCCAGCTTATCTTCACCCTCTCTGGTCTCTTAGTCACCTCCCTTCCATGCCTTGATGTTAGTACACATCTCTTTCTAGATCCTCTCGACATCTGTGCAGCCTTTGTGTGCCAAACTGGTAAGATACCTTTCACCTTTCCCACAACCAAGTCACCTAGCAGCAAACTGTTGTCAAGTACAGAATGAGACATCCACATGGTGGAGAGAGTCTCATGCTGGCTGTGCTGTCCCTCTTAAGAGCACAGCAGAAACCACTGGGGAGGTGGGGTCAAGGTACAGCACTTCCGAACTTCTTCTCAAGATCTCCAATCTCCACCTTAGATGGCCTAAACACTGGGCCAACATAGACAGTGTTCATGGCTGCAGCAATCAGAACCAACCTATCAGGGATGAGCAAAGATGCTACCATTGAGGCAGGGGCCAGGGGACCACCAACCAGAGGAAGTTCAGAAGGCTGACTGCTGGCAGCGTCTTGACCTTCATGTGGCAACCTCAGGGGGAAGGCTGAGTGATTCTGTTTCTGCTTCAGAGTATGGAGACCTGAAGTTGCTAGAACACCTCATGAAAGGTAGCCAAAACACAAAAGCCTGCTGCTAGGCAAGCTTGCTGTGTGGTCTGATCAGGTCAGAAAGGCAGCAGGACACCCAGGCCCCAGGCACTCTGGCCTAGCTCCATAGGAAGATGGCCACAGCCTAGCTCCCTAGTACCAAGCTACCATTCCTGAATTCAGTCCTGTGCTCCTGTGGGTAGTTGCTTCTCAGGTACTGGTCCTTTGTGTTGAGCCCCTCCATCTCTGGGGAACATTACAAGGTCTGCAGTCCTACTCTCCACCTATCCCTGCACCTGTTTCATAACTTATGCACAAATGTGAACACCCAAGGCAGGGCTGGATCAGTTCTTCATTTTGCTCTTTATTAAGTCAAATATTATGAAATATCTAATTATTAGCACCCAAGACAAATAGGAAAAAGGTTTAGATGATTTTGTGTTTTAAGACTATAATCACCCACAACTGGAGGACAGGGCTGATAAATGGGTTTGGCCACAAAATGGAAAGCAATCAAAACCAGACCTCATAAAGGGAATATCACATGCAGTCATGACTACTTCCCAGAGCCAAGCGAGAAGTCCCTGAACTGGAAGTGCCATTCAAAGAATCTCATGACCATTACACACCCAAGCCCTGGGTGGCACACAGGTTGAAGGAGGCCCACACTTCACCTCCTCCTTGTTCTGAAGGACACCACCTCACTCTAATGTATTGTGTGTGTTTTGGAGCAGTATGGTGTGTTGTGTCTAGTGAGGAACGCTCCCCTACCTCTGTCCTCTTTGCAACCCCACCATGCGTGCTTTTCCTCTAAGAGCCGCGTGGCTGTACGTGTTGATGGGGGTGGTACCTGTTCATAGCACAAGTCTATGTTGAGCTCTGAACTGCCATTCACAGCTGCGTGTCTGCATGGTGTCGCATCTGTTGTACCTTCGGGGAAAATTTGTATGTAAATGTACAGAAATAAAAATGTTGCCCCATTAACAATTTCCTCTGGAATGTCTTCCTCCCTACCTCACCTGATGGTATCCACAAGGGCATTTCACTACCACTGAGGATGAGTAATAAAATCCTCCATGTAGACGAGACCTCCCAGAGTCACTGGTTTCGAGGGTTCATCTGTCAGTGGCTTCCACTTGCCCTGGGGATGGTGGGGCCTCTCGTTCTGCTTGAAGAGTCCTAGTCTTAGAGAGTAGTCAGAGGTTGAGACCAGATTCAACTCAAATGTTTATGTGATTCTCAAACCATCTAAGAATTCAGCACACTGAAGAGGGATTTTTTTTTTTTTTTTTCTCATCTGTGTTCTGCTAATCCATGGCCTGAGGATTCCTGGAGAGGTCGAGGAATGACTCTCTACACTGTGATTCTCTGAGGAAAGACTGGTAATCCAAAACTCTCTTCTCTACTGTAGTATTTTTTAACAAGAAAACAATATTTCTTTAATAAAGCGTTTATACCAAACTCTTCTCTCCATAGCTGATTGTGTGTTACTTACTATTCTGTCCAAGAGAGCTGTCCACTGGGCTTCCCACACTGCAGAAACACTGGCTGAGGCCTCAGAGGTTGGCATGCAAAGTATGCAGGAGGCAGCCTTCGAACCACAGACATTGTTATTCTTAAATGCTCTTATTCCTGCCCCTGCCTGGCTCAGTGAAAAATTCTTGGCACTGTACAAAATAATTATAGGCCCTGGACTATCTACCTCTCAACGCAAGAGAGCCCAGGTGACCCCAAGGATTACAAAGCTCTTTAACAATGATGGTCACTTTTGTCAAAACATGGTTCTCAACTCAAGAACCTCAGGTGGAAAAATCACCATTAGAGTCCAAGCAGTAGCCAGGAAAATGCTAAGGATTAAAAACGGCTGAAGGGCAGGGACTAGGGAGAAAAGAAAGCAAAAGTGACAGACAGTAAGAGCAAGGGGGCCTGAAGCACTGGTGTCCATAAAATGAAGTTAAAATCAAGACTGACACCCATCACAGCCTTTACAGTTAACTGCACACTTAACCCAGCAAGCTAGGGTTGCTGCCATTTCTCAGATGGAAAGAACAGCCAAAATACTAGACTCCACAGAGCCCACAAATCTAGGAAGCTGTCCTATGGTTCAAAAGCAGCTTTAAAAACACAAGTAGGAGGGCCTGCTGAGATGGCTTAGTGGTTAAGAGCACTGGCTGCTCTTTCAAAGCACATGGGTTCAATTCCCAGCAAACATACCGTGGCTCACAACCATCTGTTAACTCTAGTTCCAGGGCATCTGAAGCCCTGGCCTCTAATCTCCATAGGCACCAGGCACTCATGTTGTGCATAACACACATGCAAGCAAAACGCCCATATGCACAAAATAAAAAAATTAAAATTAAAAAAAAACAAAAACTAAAACATAAGTAGGATGTCCAGGCAAGGCTTAGAGAGGACACTGGGAAAGTACCCAGAAGACTGATCTATCAGTACACAAGACAGAAGCCTCCGGACCTGCCACATGAGCCTAAAGCATAGCCACTGTGGCTCTAATGTGTGGAACAAAGCAGCCACCGATTTAAGCTGTTCCTGATTTCACTTTTGCCCTTTTCTTTAGCACTAGACAGTTGGGAAGTGTTTGTTTGTTGTCTGCCCCTTTTCTTCCCATGCCCATCAGTCTCT